CGAAGCGAGCATCACGAGCATCAGCCGCAGCTGTTTTGGACCGTTCGGGCTCAGGCAAGCAACCGAAGCGAGCATCATGAGCATCAGCCGCAGCTGTTTTGGAGCGTTCGGGCTCCGGCAAGCACCCGAAGCGAGCATCATGAGCATCAGCCGCAACTGTCTTCGGGCTCGGGCAAGCACCCGAAGCGAGCATCACGAGCATCAGCCGCAGCTGTTTTGGACCGTTCGGGCTCAGGCAAGCACCCGAAGCGAGCATCATGAGCATCAGCCGCAGCTGTTTTGGACCGTTCGGGCTCGGCAAGCACCCGGAGCGAGCATCACGGGCATCAGCGCAGCTGTTTTGGACCGTTCGGGGTCGGGCAAGTACCCGAGCATCATGAGCATCACCCGCAGCTGTTTTGGACCGTTCGGGCTCGGGCAAGCACTCGAAGCGAGCAATATGCCGCAGCTGTTTCGGACCGTTCGGGCTCAGGCAAGCACCCGAAGCGAGCATCATGAGCATCAGCCGCAGCTGTTTTGGACCGTTCGGGCTCGGGCAAGCACCCGAAGCGAGCATCACGGGCATCAGCGCAGCTGTTTTGGACCGTTCGGGCTCGGGCAAGTGCCCGAGCGTCATGAGCATGCATGAGCATCAGCCGCAGCTGTTTTGGACCCTTCGGGCACAGGCAAGCACCCGAGCATCATCAGCATCAGCGCAGATGTTTTGGACCGTTCGGGCTCGGACAAGTACCCGAGCATCACGAGCATCATGAGCATCAGCCGCAGCTGTTTTGGACCGTTCGGGCTCGGGCAAGCACCCGAAGCGAGCATCATGAGCATCAGCCGCAGCTGTTTTGGACCGTTCGGGGTCGGGCAAGTACCCGAGCATCATGAGCATCATGAGCATCAGCCGCAGCTGTTTTGGACCGTTCGGGCTCGGGCAAGCACCCGAAGCGAGCATCATGAGCATCAGCCGCAGCTGTTTTGGACCGTTCGGGCTCAGGCAAGCACCCGAAGCGAGCATCATGAGCATCAGCCGCAGCTGTTTTGGACCGTTCGGGCTCGGGCAAGTACCCGAGCATCATGAGCATCAGCCGCAGCTGTTTTGGACCGTTCGGGCTCGGGCAAGCACCCGAAGCGAGCATCATGAGCATCAGCCGCAGCTGTTTTGGACCGTTCGGGCTCGGGCAAGCACCCGAAGCGAGCATCACGAGCATCAGCCACAGCCAGCTGTTTTGGACCGTTCGGGCTCGGGCAAGCACCCGAAGCGAGCATCACGAGCATCAGCCGCAGCTGTTTTGGACCGTTCGGGCTCGGGCAAGTACCCGAGCATCATGAGCATCAGCCGCAGCTGTCTTGGACCGTGCGGGCACGGGCAAGCAGTTTGGTCGGTTGGGCTCTCTGAAGCGAGCATCACGAACTTCAGCCGTGATTGTTGGGGCCCGCTTGGACTAGGGCAAGCACCCGAAACCACCATCATGAATGCTAAACCGATCGGGTTTAGCATTTCCCTCCAATCCGCGAAGGGGAATCTGGAGAGATACTTCAGCATGGCCGCATGCCTACAATCATAAAAGAAACAGGCCTCCCGTGGAAGTGGCTGAGAGTAGTCGACAGGATCATGCTTGATCTTGCGCCGATCACCCTCGCCTGGCACGCGCTCTGTTTGATTCTGGCTTTGACCAAAGTTGAACCTTGCACGACTCGGACAAGCTGATTGTGCAGGACTCAGTGCTTGGAATCCGGCGATGGAAGAAAGCACACAAATGTGCACGAGGGCACCTGGCGCTGCAACCGAGAGCTTGTGACTTCGTCTTTAGTTCGGGCCTGCTCCACCCACGAATAGAGCTGTCGTGTGTGCAGAGTTCCACATATGTACCCGGGATGGGGATTGTTGGCTATGGCCGGATACCTGCACTGTACTTGCTTGCACTAGAACTTGAATCCTGCGTCTCACTTCCAAAACAAGATCCTACCAAGCACTGCGTTAGTGAAGCCGCTTACCGAGCCTCACCAGAATCACGAAGTTTGCGAGCACCCTAATTCTCCATGATCTACTGCTGCGCACGTGGTTGCTTCTCATCCCGTCTGTTGCGCCACAGATTCGCACATGTTTAGAATCACTGTTCACTATATTTTCTGTAGTTTCACGTGATTTGAGCAATCGCAACCAATACATGAGGTCACCATTCACATTGCTCCAACCATCTTGCCTCGGAGAACTGCTGAAATATTGCAGCCACAATTTTGTTCGTCTATATTTGTATTAATACTCATTGCGTTCATGTGCACATCACGCGCAGGGAAACGGATGCTTGCGTCTGTATGTACCTGCGAATATATGTACACATCAATTTGGGCACATGATACATACATACGTACATACTTGCAAACTTACGTCATAATACGAATTCATTGGGAGGCCACCCCCCTAGTCTAGAACATTGAGCACCACTGGGACATTGTATACACTCAAAAAAACTCGCATCTGGAAAACACATCCGCTCTCAAGGGTTTCGAGGTTCGGTGCATCAGGACGGCGCAAGGGTTTCGCGTTCAGAAAGGCCTGCTCGCAGCTGTCACAAGTCTCAGACTGAGTCACACTCAGGAGGGCATGAGAAAGATGCCCGCCGGGGTTTGCAAGATACAGGCTTCAAGTAGTAGGTGCATTCAAGCCATTTAGTCATGTCTCTGTTGCCAAGGTCGGCGCCTAGCAGCCGGAAGGAATACCTGTTTGTATCACCTTCTTCCGAAACCGAACGAACATAACATCCCCTCGCCTCCGCCGCTGCAGGTCTCGGCAAACCAGGGTGCGGAAGTAGTTCGGGTGGTACAGCTGCTCCTGTCTGAGGTGTCTTTGGCGCGAAGCTTTCGACCTGTGTATGTATTCATACATCCATTTAATCATTTACACATGCATGAATGCATATACTATACATGCATACATACCTTCATACCGGCAGACAGACAATAGAATATAGAGACGTGCAGGCCTGGGTGGGATCGGATTTGTTCTTGAGGCTGAGTGGGGCGAATTGAGCCCTGCATGGTAGAGAAATCCAGGTAAAGATGGTTTAAGTATCGCCGGTGACCCAACCGTCCAGGAGTTGAAAGCGAAAGCTCTAACAGGAGCACGGGGCACAGGGTTTGCACAGCGCCACAAGACTCTATTGGTCGCAAAAGTTGCCGTAGTGCTCCGGGCAGAGTAGAAGCACTCGAACCGGTTTACATGGAGTGTACGGTGTTGAGCACTGAGGTCTGCGTGACCCTGAGCTTCGCACCTTGGCCCCGTGCGCAAATGGGCACCGTGGACCTGGATGGCAGAAGAGAAACAGGGAAGGCACGGACTCTATGCCTATGCATGGGGGCGACAGGTGCAAGGCTGAGAGTGTAGGATGTGGCACTGGGCTTGCGGGAAGGAACCTCCGGCCAATGAACTTGCCTAAGAGCACAACCCGCTTGCCCTGGCAGCCAGCATCCTGATTGCCGGAAGCGCCTGTGGACTCAAAAGCATGATTAGCCTCCCAATGCTCCAATGCGAGCAGAACATACCCCAGAGAGCCATGGCCCCAACCAAGCGGACATCGCTGCGAGTATGCCAAGCTCGTCTCCTGCCATGCGAAGAGCAGAGAGCTGTCTCGCCGGGTTCAGTCCAGGTTCGGGTCTAGCCGTTAGGCGAGCTTCGAAATCACACGTATTTGGAACGGCCATGAGCTCTAGTCTAGCCCGAATGGCAACTGCCCAACAGAATACGCACGTGAGTTCATGTGTTTGTTCTTTCTGTGCACGTGCGCGCGCGCCTGCGGGAGTATTTACGAATACCCGAGACAGATCCGACTGCTGGGTAGTTGAAGGCCTTTCCTTTGACAAACGAACCATTCAAGCCCCCGCTCCGAATGCCGGAATCACCTGGCCTTCTTGTTCCAGTAGGGGCAGAGCTGATGGCCGTAGCCCAGCGACGGCGGACGCCGCCTGGGCACGGAGCTGGAGTTGAATTTTCTTTGTGTAAGCCTGTAAGCACTGAAAGCCCAAGAGCCCTGAACACACTCAGGAGCCGGTAACTAACCGAACCTCAAAAACATTTCCCCTCAATCCCTCAGGACCCACCACTCTGACAGGAAAGCAAAACCCCCGTGCTTCTCTGCTCGGTTTTTGTCAAGATTTCGGAGTTCCGCATCCTGCGCCTTCGGTTCGGGGTAAGCGGGTAAGTTCCATGGCTTAGCTTTCACCCTCAGCCTCGAAACCCTAAGCCCATACAATGCCAAACAAATCCTACTAAGGATTGGACTTCGAGAATCAGGGTTCCGACTCTTACGGCTCGCACGGCAGGCAAGGGTCCACAAGTCTGGGATAACGCTGAAAGACTACAACGATCCGGTACACCCTCAGCTCCACACAAGACACACCAACCCAACTCCTAAGACGATATAGACCATAGGTCCAAACACGAAGCATGAAGCACAGCCTTCCCACGCACTGACAAGGCAGGTCGAAGAGGCAGCAGCGTACATCTCAAACAAGACTCTACCCGACCCACCTAGCAGCAACACCGTTACAGTGCAACCGCATACTGGACTACCACTCCTGCACGCTCCTCCAGACCAAGTCTCTAGCGCTTGCACTCGATGGAACATTAGCGGCACCATGCAGTAAACGTTTAATTAAATTATGCATCGTATGCCAACGGCTCCAGCTGGGACTACCGGGATTGCCGATTGCCGAGAATGTGCATTCCTTTCCAGGATATTAATGGTTCGTAGATGATCTGTGTCTTCTACATTGGGCGGAACTAGGCTAGAAAACGACAACTCTGGCAGACTGCGGCTGCAATGCCGGAGCCGACCATCGAGCTTGCCAAGCTTGCCCTGCAGGCTTCGCTCGTGGACTACAGTCACTACCGGCCAGGCCGAATCCAGGACAGTGTCTACCATTGGTGTCAGGATGCAGTCTCCGAGGCTTTGAGGTTGCAAGTTAGGGCCACCTTACTATTGCGGTGGTCGTGCCTGTATTCGTGGCTTGGC